CAGGCCCCCTCCAAAAGCAACTGAGCTGAGTTTATGCCTCATGCAGTGCTTTGCACCTCCATCTTGCTTTGTGTATCCTCTCCCTCTGTGAAGGTGAAGTGCATTTTGCTCTTTATGGAAGGAGGGAGGAGCAAACCCAATGCTGCAGAAGTCTAGTGAGGGCAATGCAATGCAATGCAATGTTTTAAACACTACAGAGTGATGACTGTCTGGAAAAAACCTTGTTTTTTAAGTGAGAACTGTCCGTTACCAACTATTGGACTTAGAAGTGTGTGTTATTTGACTACTGAATTTACAGTGGAAGGGCAAAAATTAAACATCGTATTCTGAGAATACTCAGAATCAACATCTGGCTGTGCCCCTTGAGTTCGTAATTGCTTTTTTATATACATACATACATGTAGCATAGATAAGTAGTGTCACTTGATCAAGAATGCTGTATTACATTTTTTCCTTTTCAGATCACTTATTCTTTTTCTGAGGCAGGCAGGAAGAATGGAAGCCAGGGACTGCAAACCAATACTCCAAGTCTGAGCGTAATGATAAATTGCAAACAAGTATATATATAAAAATAACAATAGAGGCAGTAGAGTTAAAGGCTTCAAGTATGTTGCTTGATTTTGCTGCTGGAATACAGCGTTGACTCTTAAAAATAGAGGATACAGTTTGTGGCAGAGGTTATGGAACAGAGCATAAGTTTGTTTGGTTCAAAATTGTTTAAGCATAACATGAAAAGAGATGCATTCAGACTGAGACACCCAATATAAGCCTGCCTGCCTTTGACCTTGAAAAGATGGATCAACTTATCCAATTACATTATAGTGGGAAATGTTAGAGTTTATGTACAGAGTAATCAGACAGGGGATTAGATATGATGCTATTTGTTGCTCACTGTGTATGCAGAGAGATCACTGATAGAGTACTCGCATATGGCAAAGAAATACAATAAGGAGAAAAAGTAGCAGAAAGAGATTGATAACAAGTGCCAATCAAATGAAAAAAGACTAGGAGAAAGATTAACAATATATCCTAACGTAATTTTCATTCCTCTTATTAAAATCAGATTTCTATTATGCTTTTCTGCAAAGTGCACACTCTTCTTTTACAAAATACAGTTACATGAAGTAAAAATGGGAACTGTACAATTTTGGAAAAGCATACAGTATGCACTTTCATAGAATGAATGAAATTAGATTTGAAGCTCATCTTGAAAAAAGTGGATGTCTGAAGCTAAACTCTTAATTTCAAAGTCTCATAAATCAAGGTCCTTATTTTCCATAATGCTGCATATGCAAGTTTTCCAGTACTAAGGAAAAATTCTGGAGTGAGGAATACTATCTAACCCTATACAGGGATGAAAAGAGAGAGAATGATGTATCTACCTATCTTAGGCATATTGCTTTGCAGGACTTCAGGAAGCAAAATAAAATAGGCATGAATACAGTTAGTTCAAAATGTTTGAATAGGAAGGAATTTGTAACAGGAAGCCACTATTCATTCTGTGTTGTCGTGATTTAATCCCAGCCGGCAACTAAGCACCGCACTGCCGCTTGCTCACTCCCCCCTCAGCGGGATGGGGGAGAGAATCAAGAGTAAAAGTGAGAAAACTTGTGGGTTGAGATAAGAACGGTTTAATAGGTAGAGCAAAAGCCGCGTGTGCAAGCAAAACAAAACAAGGAATTCATTCACTCCTTCCCATGGGCAGGCAGGTGTTCAGCCATCTCCAGGAAAGCGGGGCTCCATCATGCATAACGGTGACTTGGGAAGACAAATGCCATCACTTCAAATGTCCCCCCCTTCCTCCTTCTTCCCCCAGCTTTATATGCTGAGCATGATGTCATATGGTATGGAATGTCCCTGTGGCGAGTTTGGGTCGGCTGTCCTGGCTGTGCCCCCTCCCAGCTTCTTGTGCACCTCCAGCCTTCTCAGTCGGTAGAGCATGGGAAGCTGAAAAGTCCTTGACTAGTGTAAGCATTACTTAGCAACAACTAAAACATGGGTGTGTTATCACATTATTCTCATCCTAAATCCAACACACAGCACTGTACCAGCTACTAGGAAGAAAATTAACTCTATCCCAGCTGAAACCAGCACGTGTTTAATTCAAGAACAACTCTCATTTAAAAAGTCACAAGAAAAATTTCTAATCTCTTATGTTACGTCTCGCATGTTGTCAAGATACAAATTTGCACATGAACATAAAAAATGCAGATCTGCCCCAAAAGTGTTTATGTAGAAAAGGCATTTTCTTACTGTACAGCCTTTTCTCTCTATTTAGTCAAATTGGCTCATTTTGTTCCTAACTTTTCAACTCCTTTTATTACAGTAAAGCATGACAGTTTGGAAGGAACAATCTAAATTCTACTCATATCTGTATCTTTGTTTATTAAATTTAAATTAGCTACATCTGCACAGACCCACCGAAGGCAGTAAGGTTGTATTTATGACAGAAACATAATTTTAATAACTGAGAGCATAATTTGAAACCAGTGGGGCTAAAGATATCACTTAGGGAATAATTTGGCCTGCAGACTCTTCATTACTGATGATGTGCAAGAAGATAAGAACGCAGTCTGCCTGTCAAGAGTCTTGGCGTCATTTCCAGAACTGACAATTAGTGAAATAATCATGATCATAGGTATAAGATGAATACATCTCCTGTTACAGTCAATGAAGGACTGATACCTTGCAGTCTAGGCTGAATGAGAGGCAATGCATGGTGACTGAACCAAGAGCAAGGCAGAAACTAGAATGTGGTTCACTGTCTCCTTTATTTCTTATTTCTCCCAAGCTGGGGTGAGATGGGGCACTGGTACCTCTGTTGTGGTTGATTTCTTCCCTGCCTCCACTCACTCAGTTGCTTTGGCTGACA